GTGTGTGTGTGTGTGTGTGTGTGTGTGTGTGTGTGTGTGTGTGTGTGTGTCTTGCTTTGCTCCAGCATAGGAAAGCCAGGCTTGTGTTTCTGAGCAGGAGTAAATACACCCATCTGAACCAGAGGGCCTGATTGTGCCACAGAGGGCAGACCTCAGGCCATTGGGACTCATTTCTGTCTACTGAATCTTTTGCCAAAGGGATAGGGGCCGTTTCTATAAGTGGAAGTATTTAAGTGGAGGGAGATTGAATATCTACTTGTTGATGAGTTTCCCACTTCAAGGAGAGGCTGGAAAACTCTCAATGAGGAAGCTCCCTCTACCAATGTTAGGCCTTCTCTGCAACTCATTGTCTTAGAGAGTTGCCTGGGCACCCTGAGGGGGTATCCCAGAGCCAATGGCGTTCTGGCCACTGCACCACACTGCCTTTCTCTAGGCTGGTGCCAGGCTCTTAAGATGGTGTTTGAGGAGGATGGGAAATGACTTCACATCCTTTCTGCCCCTTCTGACTTAGGGAAGAAAAGCAGTATTCTGTCTTGGCCTTGACTCACATGGGCCATGATGTGCCAGACTCTGGGGCTTCCTCAAGGCAAAGAATTTTGTCCCCTGTGCTCCCCCAGGAGCTAGGTCCTAGGTAGGCTTTGGACATTCTCTCCAGGTTAGCTCCTGGTCATTGCAGACATGAAAAGTCAGGCCCAGAGCCAAGAATCTTCTCTCTCTTGGCTGGGTTGTTTCAGGAAACCAGTTCCCAGGCTTTTCCAATGTCTGACATGTGAGCAGGTGCCTGAAAAGAAAGCAGCACACACAGGCTATGGCCAACGTCCTGACGTACATTGGGTCCCTCTGGTCCTCTGTGTGGGTGGATTTCTTCCTTCTCAAAAACTCAGTGTTGGCTTTTAAACTGTTCTGAGGCTTTGCTTCCAAGACTTCAGAGAGAGGAATCGAAGGACGGGGGGACCAGGAGGGCTGGGGTTTGGACAGACGGCCTATGTGAAGGGCCTCTCATGCCACACGAGGGGATGAAGGAGGTGCACCTTCCTCTTCGACGGCAGGTCCTGCAGGCCAGGCTGGGAACCCCGGGAGGAGGGCCTGGCCATGGCCCAGGTAGCACAGTGAGCCTCCCCAAATGCTGGCAGGACAAGAAGTTAGTCTATCAGAAAGACTGCCTGCTCTGGGTCCTAGGCCGCAGTTGGTGCTCAGCTCTTACTGATATCTTTGTGTTTTCCTTAAGAGAACTTCAGCTTTTGAGGGAACAAAAGCCAGGCCCCAAGAGTAGGCTACCCTCTGTGGGATTTTGGTGAAGGGGGAAGGAATTAAAATGGCAAGTTAGATGTCTGACCACACGAGGGGGAAGTAATGCTTTCGAAGCTCATTCTGCAAAGGGAACTCTTTGCCTTTTCGAGTGAGTTTGTTTGGGAGTTCTCCCCAGCGCCTGAGGGTGGCCCTGCTAGTCACTGCTAATGTCCAGCCTCTGCCCACAAGCAGAAGTCAGGCTGTTGACCAAAGGCAAGTTTTGTTTCCCAGCTTACAAGACCCTTCTCCTGTGGCCTGCTTTGGAGACCAGAAGGCCACGCCCACCCTTGCCCATGACACACATGGCTAGGCTTTCAGAGATGGAGCGGGTTAGGAGCTGGGGGCTGGCCAGCGCGTGGGGGATGAGACTTGGCTTGGTTCACTCAGCCAGCCTATTCTTTGGACGAGTCTCATAGCCAGGCTGGTCATCAAGTCTCTGTGGCTGAGTAGGCTAGGCCCGCTGTTGGGCTCTGCTAGCACAGCACTTGAGAACACAGAATCATCCCAGGAGGACTCCTCCTAGGCCTCAGAGGGCCTGGGGAAGAATTCCTGGGGAATTTCTCATTGTTGGGCGAGCGCCTGCACCATCCTGAGACTCTGCTGAATCTTATCTTTTGAGGTGGTTTGTCTAGAGAAGGCCCTCCCATGTTCTCCCATCATATACCTCATCCTGGCTTGGGTGAGTATTTGGTTCACTCCAATGCCACTTCATTTAAGAAGTTTTTGTCTCCCATTTCTATAGTAGAGTGTAAGTTGCTCAAGGAGAAGGACTTTGCCTTTGGATCCCCAATGCTTGGCACAGAGGAGGCCCCTTGTCCATTGGCTGACTAGGGGTGAATGAGCATGCAGTAAATAAGGTTACCAGATCCACAGGAATTTGAGGAGAGAGTGAACATTCAGCACCTGAGCCTTGAACAGATCTAGGATTTTTGGAGAGCTTTGTAAGCTCTTTGAGGTCAAAGGTGGTAATTCTGTCTTCATTTTGGTGTTCTGAGTGCTATTCCAACATAGGCCTTAAACTTGGTTTGTTGCTCTGGACTTGAAGAGTGAAGTGGCCTGACCAGCCCAGGGCTGTCCTTGGCAGTCCCTGTGGCCCAAGCCCTGCCAGAGCTTGGGCTTGACCTGAATTGCCTTCCGGGACCCAGGGCTGCCTGGAGAGACTTTTGTCAGGCCTGACTCTGACAGTGTCCTGGAGAAGAGTGGAGTTGCCCCCTAGGCAGAGGGACAGGGACTCTGAGGGGCCCATAGCTCCAGGGCACTTTGACTGGGGTGAAAGAGGAGGAGCGAGTTGGGCCGGGTTTGAGCCCCTGGATGGTTTTCCTTTCCTGCCCTGAGTAAGCCCCAAGACAAGTGGGTGGGCAGCTGTGGCTATTTCCTGCTCAGATCTCCTTGGGTGGGACTCTGTGTCCATCTGCCTAGCTAATTGTGACCAGATATTGCCTCCTGCAAGCCACAAGAAGAGAAAAGCCCATTTGAGACTTTGCATCTGTGCTGAGGTGGCCACCAGCTTGGAGGAGCCCTAACCATCAGGCCTCTCTTGACTTCCTGGGGCTTATGGTTGAGGAGATGGGGATTAGATAGAAACAAAAACAGAACACTTGAGTCCATATAAACGCCTAGAGCTTTCCTGGGGCCTGGCATTAGACTCTTGGTGGCCTTAGGAAATGGAGATTGTGGGAATCACTAGTGTAGGAACACACCCCAGATCCTCACTGGAATATTTAAGGCACTGCTTTTTATGGATAAAAATGGTGTCATATCCCATTGAGCTGTTTTAGAAAGAGTTGTCTTCCCAAGGGAAAGAAGGTAGGTGCACACACATATGTCAAATTTTGGAAACCAGTCAGTGTTGGCGTAGATATATCAAGTAATTGTCCTAGCCCTTGTCACCTGGATACCTTTCTCCTTCCTCCTTCAATCTGTCTGGCCTCTGGACTTGGCATGTGAACTCCAAGGGTCAGATCTCATGTCTGAGCTTAGAGTAGGGGTGATTTAACTGGAGGTCTGTGGACTGTCTGGGGATGGGATTTCAGGGGCTTCATGAACTTGAACAGGAAGGAAAAAACATGTTCTATTCAGTCACTTCTACCTGAAAGTTAGCATTTCCTTCAATAATGAGTTAAGAATTTATTTCAAAACCTTCTGAGAAAGGCGAGAGAGAGAGAGAGAGAGATTTCAGTAGTCTGACCAAGGGCTCCATGACCAAGAGAAAGTTAAGAGTCTGTGGCTCAGAGGAAGCCAGACAGAATGACCAAGCATTCACTTGCTCTGGCTCCCAGGCCCCCTGGCCCTCCACGACTCCCATCCCCAAGGCAGTTGCCATCATCCCCAAACCTCCCCCCACCCCCTGGCCCTAGCCAGCTTTTCTGTGCCCAGGCTGCCTGTCGTGATCCAGGTGCCATTGCTTGCCGAGGTTTGTCCTTCCTTCTCCTGCCTCTTTTTGAGTCATTTCCAAGGGCAGGGCAAGAAACATAAAAGAAACACAATCCAAGTTGTTGAATTTTCTTCCCAGGAAACACTGGAGAAAGAGTTGGTGGGGGGGTCAGCTGAAGTTGACGCCATTGGTTGAAGGAGCTTTGAGGACCATCTATGGCTTTCAATTGTCTCTGCTCTCCCTGTGGCCCGTTATCCTAAAATTGGTCATTATGTGCCATTAAAAAAACACCATGCCAAAAGCCAGGCTTTTGAGCTCTGAATCCCCGTATTTAAAAAGCAGCCTGGTTATTAGAGCCCATTATGGTTCTCAGGGATGTAAAAATGTTTGGCAGTTGTTGCTTAGTTATTTGGGTGATTTTCCACCTTGTGCTCAGCACCGTCCCAGTGACCTTTGCTCTTTCTTTGCCAGATGGCTTTCGGAAGGTGGTTACAGTAGAAAGTGGGATGATTGTCCCAGAGAAGAATACAACGATTGAGTTCCAGCATATGTTTTTCAAACAAGGGGAGGCACACCTTCTGGAGAACATCAAGCGTAAGGTATGTCACCTGGCGCCAGCCTTGGTTTGAGAGGGACCTGGACATTTTTACAGTGGCCATATGGCTTAGGGATCCATGGGGCCCAGGGTGCTGCTGCCACTTGGAGTTCTCCATCAGCCAGGAGACTCCTTCATCAGCTCCAGGCCTCTTCTGGCAGCCCCTCTTACTTCTGATCACTGGCCCTCAGGCCCATGACACTTCCAGGAAGTGGCCAGAGGAGACACTGAATTTTGATTGTTTACTCAACGAGTCCCACGTGTGGTTTAGCAGCAGCTGCCGGGCTGAGTCTGTGCCCTGTCTCTCCAAACCCCCAGAGCTTCCTGTCGGCCAGGGCAGGCTACAGAATTGCCAGCCTGACTTTTCTGTTTTTTGTAGACAGGGTGTGGGTCTGAGACATCTATTGATGTTGTCAACAGTGCACGTGGATGCCATGGTCCCCAACTGGACCGAAATATGTATCCCAGCAAGGCCAGGCCACGCCACTTTGGAACATTGCCTCAGTTAGGTTAGCTCATGGCCCACTCTGGAAAAGCCAACCCATATGTCATCTGTGGTCACGAGGAGGTTTGGGGATGCTCTCCTTTGTTAAGTCAGTTGGAAGAAGGGTGGAGGAAGACGTGGTAAAGTATTAACCAGGGTTTAGGCGAAACATTGGTCTACATGGCCTGTATAGCCAGTGTCTGTTCCCTCTGAGACCTCTTGTGGTTCTCAGCAATGGGACCATAATGGGTATACAGCTTTGGGCCCAGATGTGTGCTGCCCTTCAAAGGAATCGCAGGGTTCCCCAATGTAACAATCATTTCGTGGGTCAGCACATTGCAAGTGGAAGTCAGTGGGGATTCCATCCTGTACGTCCTCCTTGCGCCTCACCCATCAGAACATCTTCATTTGGCACTGATCGCACATGGCCTTGTCCTGCCTCCCTGCTACGTGCAGAGAACTGGAGTGGAGAGAGAGAGAGAGAGAGAGAGAGAGAGAGAGAGAGAGAGAGACGGGGCCATGCACAGCATGAATCACAAGACACACAGTAGGCATGCAGGTATTTTTCCATGATTCAAATGATGCTAGTTGACCCTTATGGAGCACATTTTAGTCCCAGTAGCACAGTATCATATAGTAGAGTGAGCACTGGCTTTGGTGTTCGAGGTCCTGGGTTCAAATCCTGCCTTTGTTCTTTCTAACTCCTATATGAAATGAGGGCATTAGATCATGTCATCTCCAGGGTTCCTTCCAGCTATGGAAGGACCCTCTAATCCCGCTTGGTTCCCATAATGCCTCTATGAACAGGAAATAGTATAAAAATGCATTCTTACTCCCATTTGACCCATGAGGTGACAGGCTCACACATATGAAATCACTTGCCCAGTAAGCTATTTAGTGGTGAAGTCTGTATCCATACCCAGTCTTCTGAAGACCTAGGCTCAAGTCCTGCCTCTGACAGAGACTGGCTTTGTGAGCCTGGGCCAGGCATTTCCCTTCTCACTGCACTCAGGCAGCTGGATCTTGCAGAGGAGGTATTGACTTCCCAGGAGTCCCCTCTGTCCTGGAGAAGTGCCCTCACCCAGGGCGCTTGGTGGTCTGGGACTGGCCCTGATGATATGGCCACACTGGGCCAAAGGCCTCACAGTCCATGCCTGTATGTACCCCAGCCTTTCTATGGCTTCTTAGCTTGTCAACACTGTCATGTTATTCTCTCACCAAGTTGTCGATTCTGCAAATGTGGGGCCCGTCCAACCTGTAGTGTGGTACTGGGCATACAGGGGCTCAGGGAATGAGACAGGAAGACCCAACTTTTTGCTGTGGCTACAGTTGCCTGACTGCTACAGCTCACGCTTGTTTCTGTTAATGACTCAGTGTAATGCATAGATGAGGGTACATGAAGAGGCGGTAAGTGTGCACCATGTTGTTTTACACAGTTCACTTTTTACCTGGGTTATTACTGCTGTTGGTAAGGAATAGTGCCATGGGGGTCCAAGGGAAGGAATCCACTTTAAGGCCCTTTGAAATCAGCGGGGCTAATCCAGCTGGCGGCTCTGCCTGCCATGCAGGCCACCTCCCACCATCAGCCTTGTTGTTCTCGTAAAGGCAAAGGGGCTGTGACCCACCTGGTGCCACTGTGGCCAGGGCACTGCCCCCTCTCTACCTGCAGGATAATTTTGCTTGTATAACCTGCTTTGTAAACACTGAAATGCTTAGTAAACAGGAACTGCAATTTGAATTTGTATTCAGCCTCCAGGAAACGTTCTCAGAAACTCACCAGGCAGAGGGAAACAGAGACGTCTGGCCAGGGGGAGCTTTATGGTGTGGGCTGACTGGGCGCTGAAGTCAGAAGGCTTGGGCTCCGGGTCCACATGTGTCAGTCACTGTTTGAAGTTGGGGAAGTCACTTTGTCTGTTGGGGTCTCAGTTTCCTTGCCTGTAAAATGAGAGGCCAGGACTAGATCCATTAAGCAGCAAGCATTCCCGTAGCTGCTGTGTGTCAGCCACTGTGCTAAGCACTAGAGCAATATTTCCTAAGGAGCTGACATTCTTCAGGGGAGACAGCATGCACATCTCTAAGTCTACATGGAGTAAATATAAAGAGAAGAAATAAAAACTAAATACAGGGCAGGAGGGTGGGAGGTGGGGCGGGCACCCTCTTTGTGTAGAAGAAGGTAGGAGCTAATCTCCGATACAGCTTTAAAAGTCTCTTGGTTTAAAATCAAACCATCAACATACAATATATTGTGCTCCCATTGCTCAGCTGAATCTCAGGTTGCTGATGGTAGAAAAGAGGATAGAAGCCCAAGGAATGGACCCTGGGTGAGGGGAATGTGAGTGACAGAGTGTGGGCTAGTGAGGGTGTGGCTCTGACTGAATAGCCCCCTCTGATCACAGGCCAAAGGGGCAGAAGCTCTGAATTTCAGTTGAAAACTACTTTGTACAGCCCATAAAAGACTTCTCTTTACATTATGCCCAACCAAGTGTTCTTTTACCTTTCTCCCCCAAAGAGAGGGAGCCCATTCCACTCTGGACAGCTCTAGTAGGAAGTTTTCCCTTATGCCAAGCCTGTTTCCCCCTTTGGACCTCGTACTCACTGCTTCAGTTCTGTCTTCTGGGGCCAAGTAAAACAAGTTTCATCCCTTTTTCCACTTAGCCATTCAAATTCTTGAAGACAACTATCATAGGAACAGATATATGTATGTATGCATTCATGCATGTATGTGTACATGTATATATATAGAGGCATGCACATATATACATAAATGTGTGGTTATATATACATATGCGTATGAATACATACATACACACACACACACACACACACACACACACACACACACACACACACATACATATGGTATTGGAAGAGCCTTCAGAAGACCTCAAATTCCTTCCCCCCACCCTAAGTCTAGGTCAAACGTTCTCAGGTCTTTCAGTTCTCAGGGCACGAGCACAAGGGCCTTTACTATCTTGCTTTGTGCTGTCCATTTAAACAGTGGCCTGTAGTTTGCCCAGGGTAGAACCCCTTCCTGGAGGCTGCCACGTGGACACTCCCAACCCACAGGGAGTTTGTAGTCTTTTTCACTTGGGCTTCTGGCTATTTAGCCAGGCCTCCCCCACTTTCTTGTGTTTGTGAGGTGGATTTTTTTGGAACCCAAGTGTAAAACTACACTTAGCCGTCTTGAATTCATCTTAGTGCGTTCATCGCAGTGTGCCAGCTGGCAAAGACCTTTTGGGCTATCATCCAGCATGTTGGCACTCCCTCCCAGTTTGGTGTTGCCAGCACGTTTGACAAGCATGCCATCTAGCCTTTTATCTAAATCATTCATGAAAGGTTAAACATCCAGGACTGAGCACAAGATCCCTGAGGCCTGTCACTGGAGGCCTCCTTCCAATTGGACATTAAACCATTCCCATTCATGGCGCTTCTTTTGGTTTGCTGTTCCCCAGACCAATTATCTTCTCACCTGGCTCACATCACACCACTCCATCTTCTGCACAAGAAGAGCTTGGCTAGGGCAGCTAAGGCTGTCCCTGTGGCGCTTTCTCACTTAGTAGTGACCCTGTTAGAAGAGAAGTCAGACCCTCCCCACATTGGCCTGGGCTGGATGAAGCCAGACTGGCTCATGGTGATGATCACTGCCTCCTTCTCAGATGTTTACTAACCGTCCTTTTAAAAAGACCTGGTGGGATTTTGCAAGGAATCTATGTTAAGCTCACTGGCCCGTAGTTTCTAGTCTTCATTCTCTTCCATTTTGTGACACTTGGGTCATCAGGAATGCCCTTCTCCAGTCCTCTTCTCCATAGTCTGCCAAAGGTCACTGATGGGGCTCAGCAATCGTGCCTGCCAATTCTTGCGATTCTGAGGATGTACTTCATCTTTGTCAGGTGACTTGAAGTCATCAAAGGCATCTAGGTGCTCTCTTAATCTCCATGCTTGATCTTCACTATCAACTCCCCGTTAGTCACTTTTCTTCTGTCCTTTGTAGTCCACAGATCAATCTCCTTGGCAGAGAAAACATAAGCAAGATTAGAATTATGCAGCGATGTCTTCCCCCATTAATGAGTTAACATCCCATCAGTCCCAAGGAAGGGTTCTAGTCTTTCTTTCATCCTTCTCCTTTGCCCAATAGAGTTCCAGAGAAAGTCCCTTTTGCCATCCTTAGCATTTCCCTGCCTGTTTCCACTCATTCTGAGCTTTAGCCCTCCTGACACTGTTATAAGCCCATACAGTGCTTTTGTGGTCCTCTGTTACGCTCTTGGTTCCAGTTTTCTGTGTTGCTTAGTGAGTTTCTTATGAATCCACCTTGATCTCTTTGGACAGTTCCCCTTTTTCCTTCTCATTGGAATGGTTTCCCCTTGTGTCTTCAGAATTTTTTTCTTGAGCATCTCCCATCCTTCCTGGGCTGACTTATCTTGAAGCCTTTTACTAGGTGTGATCCTACCTGCCCTTCCTCTAAGCCTTTGAAATCTGTTGTCCCCAGATCTTAGGTACATGTCAGACTGTTTTTGGCTCTTTCCTTATACATTGCAAACTCCAGAAGATAGTGGTCGTGTCTTCCTAAGGTCCCCTTCGTTTCTACCTTGGCAACCAGTTTCTTCCTGTTGTTGAGAATTGCATCCAGAGTAGATTTCCCTCTTTTTGTTCCTCTACCTTTTGAAGGATGAAATTGTTGTTAAAGCAAGGCAAGAAGTATTAGCTGCCCAGCTTTTGGCAGAAAGAGCTCTAACAATTGTCTGGGTAATTGAAGCCACCTTTGTTCCTCACCTCTGCCCGCATCACTACTCTGTCCTTCCTCTGTGCCAGGCATGTAATCTGTTTCCCAAATCTCTCATCCATGTCCTCTTGCTGTCCAGGTGGTCTCTAGTATTTGTCAATGACCAAAGGAAAAGAATCACCTCTATTTCTCTCTTGGTTGATCTTCACTCTGGTTTTTCATCATGCTTTCCCTGTTCTGGTACTTGGACTTCCTTATGTGACTAAAGCATCTTTACCCTTTAATTGAACCTGTTTCTTTTGAATAAAGTGGGGTGCCCGTCCTGAGTCACATTTCAGCCATGCGAGTCTCATCCTACCATGTCTTTGTGTTACCTCTGAGCTCAAATTTGTCTTCTTGCCTCTTAGAATCTCTTGTTCATCTTGATTGTTAGTCATTCTTTGTATCTTTGTGGGTAGATATGGATAGGCCATGGGGTCGATTACTGGCTCCATACTTGCACTTTAGCTCCTGTGAACTTCTGAGTGTCTGCCCTGTTATTCATCTTACATTGTAGCTACATTCTAGGATATAGAACTTGCTGAATATATATAGTCAGTTTACACCTTCCTTTTTAATTTTATGTGTAAATAATGACAAGGACAACAACAATAATAATAATAATAGTGAGAGGCAGCCTGGCGTAGGGGATAGAGGGCCAGCCTCAGCCAGAAAGACCTGTGTTGAAGGCCTACCTCTGACAAAGCAGCTGCGTGGCCCTGGGTCAATCTTGGAACCTCTCAGTGCCCCAGGCCACCCTCACTAAGATGGTCAGCTGCGGGCTGCATGCCCGTCTGCATTGGTGGAGGTTCAGTCCCTCTCCCTGCTGGTAATAGTGGTAACTCACATTTCAATAGCATTTAGCTTGCAGGACACAAGAGGCCGGTGAAGGTTAGTGGGATGTGTATTATTAGCCAGGGTTTTTGAGATGAGGAGACTGGAGCTTAGAGAGAGGAGGCTCGGTATGTGAATGGCCGAGTCAGCACTGGAACCTAGGTGGGGTGTCTCACTCCATGTCTCACTGCTTGACCTCTTGGCTCTCTTCTGGATCACAGGTGTGCTCATGCTAACATACTTAGTTTCCTCATAACATGACGTTGGGCCCAACAGCATTATGAAAGCAGTTAGTCTGGGCACCGCTGCAGATTTGGAATTGGGGAGGAGGAGGGGGCAAGACCCTTGGGGGCAGCGTCCGAGCGTGCAACCCCTTTTGGTTTTAGGTGTCATCTGGGAGAACTGAGGATCTCAAAGGCTCTGATGACTTGCAGAAAGCTCTCGCTGAGGTGCAGGAGATCAAGGAGCAGCAGATTGGCAAGGACAACAAGCTGGCGAGCCTGAAGAGGTGGGTGTGGATCCAGGTGGCAGGGGCCCTGCCCTTCTGGCGGAAACTCCCAAGCTCCTTGCCCATCAGAGTGCGAGAGTAGAGCTTGGGGGCTGCCCCTTCCATTTCCTTTTCTCCTCCTTTCCTTTTTCCCATTTCACATCGTATGCCAGAATCTGGCAGCATCAGAAGCCTGGCTTTCCAGGCCCAGCCCTGCCTCGGAATAGCTTTGTGACCTTGGGTGAGTCACCTGACTTCTCTGAGCCTCAGCTTCTCCATCTGTGAAATGAGCATAATAACACTCCGAGTTATTCAGAGTGAAACTCCTGGGAAACATGAGGGAACTCTAGGGATGGGAGTTTTTACTGGTCTCAACTCATTTTCCACCACGTGTTCTGCCTTTGCAGAAAAGAAGGAAGAAAAGAGGAGACATGTAGAAATACCACATTGTAAGTAGAGGACTCTCTGGTTTCTCATTTCTGATTCTGCTATGGAGTCACTGGGCCAGGTTGGGCAAGTGCCTTGCCTTCCCTGCACTGTGATTTTTCTGTTCAGGAAAGTGAGAGAGTCAGAGCAGCTGGTCTCTGAAGCCCCTCCCAGATTTTGTGCCAGGTAACTGGTATCTGAGCTGACCATTGCAACTACAAGGAATCGTCTAGCATTTACCATTTGGTTGGAAAGAGTGCTGCTCTTGGAGTCAGGAGATACTTGGGTTCAAATCTCCATCTCTAACACTTAATGCCTGTGTGACTGCAGGAAGTCTCAACATCTTTCTGAGCCTCAGTTTCCTCATCTGTAAAATGGGCCAACTCCACTCCTTTGCTTCACTTACTTCTCAGGCCCTTGCACACTGGCTTCAGATGCCACCACTCAGCTGAAGATGATCTTGCCAAGTCACCAGTGACCATCTTTAGCCTTCTTAGGCTCTGTGTTGACCGCCCCCCTCTCCTTCTGGGTATTCTCTCCTCTCTGAATCTGTGTGATATCCCTTGTTCTTAGTGTTTCTTTTAGCTATCTGGTTCTGCCTTCTCAGGCTCTTACTGGATCCTCATTGCATCTCTCTCCACACTCTCTTGGTAATCTATTTAGCTCCACTTGGTTGAATTATGTCCCCAGCAGATGGTTTCCAGATCTATACAGGGTGTCCCCAAACTTTGCCATGTAGTTCTAAACTTTAACAGTTGTATATCCTGCCCCCCCGACCCTGCTCCCTATGTGGCCCCCTGTCCTGCATTCTGTCACAGGCCACTTGTGGCTCATCCCTATCATTCCTCAGAAACTGAATCTTCCTTCTAGCTCGCCTATTTCTTTTCTTTTTTTGGGGGGGGGTGAGGCAGTCGGGGTTAAGTGACTTGCCCAAGGTCACACAGCTAGTACGTGTCAAGTGTTTGGTCTGAGGCCAGATTTGAACTCAGCTCCTCCTGACTTCAGGGCCGGTGCTCTATCCACTGTGCCACCTAGCTGTCCCTAGCTTGCCTATTTCTGTCAAGCATGCCACCATCCTCCTAGGTGCCCAGGCTCATAGCTCCAAAGGCATTCTCAATTCTTGACTCTTGCTCTTCCAACCCCCTCTCCCCTCTAGATCTTGGTTGCCAGGTCTCATGAATTCTGCCTGTGCACTATCTCTCATCTCCATCCCTTTCTCCACGTTCAGGTGCTCAGCACCTTTTAGCTGGATTATAACAGTGGCCTCCTGATTGGCTTCCTCGTAAATCTTGTAACTTTTTGGGGGGGGGGGGGTTAGGCAGTGGGGTTAAGTGACTTGCCCAGGGTCACACAGTTAGTAAGTGTTATGTGTCTGAGGTCGGATTTGAACTCAGGTCCTCCTGAATCCAGGACCAGTGCTCTATATACTGCGCCACCCAGCTGCGCCTTGTAACTTCTTTCTTGACAGCGTCTTTTGTATCCTCTCTCATGTAGTCTCCATCTTAGTCAATGCTCATATTACCTCTCACTTGAATTACTGAAATAGCCTTTTTTAAATTATATTTTTTTTAATCAACAAATCTACCTTGTCTCCCTTGGTCCTCACCCTGAGTTCATCTATTACGTGTCTGTCAGGAGGGGAATATTGTATTTCTTCATGAGCCCTCTGGAATCATGGTTGGTTATTATATTGATCAGAGTTTGTAAGTCATTTAAAGTTGCTTGTCTTTCCAGTACTGTTGCCATTGTATAAATTGTTCTCTGTGTTCTTCTCACTTCCCTCTGTCTCAGTTTATCCAGGTCTTCCTAGGCTTTTCTGAAACCCTTCCCTTCATCATGTCATCTCGTAAAGTACCCTCGTATTCCATCATATTTATATGCCAGAATCTGTTCAGTCGTTCCCCAAGGGATGGACATACCCCGTCCACCCCCCTCCAGTTTCCAATGCTTTGCCACTACTAGAAGAGCTGCTGGGAATGTTTGTGTACATCTGGATCCTTTTCCTCCTCCTTTAATCTCTTTGGGATTCAGACCTGATGTTGATATCACTGGGTCCAAGGCCATACACAATTAGTTACTGTTTGGGCCTAGTTCCAAATTGCTTTCCTGAATGACTGGACCAGTTCACATTCCACTCACAGGCCCTTAATAGATTTGCTTTTCACTGCCCCTCCAGCATTTGGCCTTTTACTTGCTGATTTGCTGGGTGTGAGATGTTGCCTCGGAGTTGTTTTAATTTGCAATTTAATTTGTATAGATAGCTTGGGTTTCTTCCCTTGAGAAAGGTCTCTTCACATCCTTTGACCATTTATCAATTGAGGAACAGTCCTTATTCTTATAAATTTAAATCAGTTCCCTTAGAAATTGGATCTTTATCAGAGAAACTTGCCACAAAGATTTTTTTCCCCCATAATAGCCTTTTAATTGTTTTCCCTGACTCTGGGCTCTTCTCTTCCCCATCAGTTGTCCCCTTGATGGCCAAATTGATATTCCTAAACTGTTGATCTGCCTGCGTCACCTACTAGTTGGGTGAGCTCCAATAATTCCCCACAGCCCCTAAGATGAAATTCAAATTCCTCTCTTTGGCACATAAAGCCCTACCTTTCACAGTCTGGCACAAGCCTATCTTTGGTTTTCTTCTCTTAAAGAATGTCAGCTGTATAGAGCAAACTTAGAAGATAAGCAATAAAATTGCCCCTTCCAAAATCCCATTTACAAATCTGATTGGATTGTTTTTCTTGAATCTGTATACTTTTTGCACCCAGTGTTTCCCTGGGAATGGACTCGAGTGCTTAAGTAATATGGCCATCAGATTGCTTTCATGATAGCCTAAGGCTCAGTTACCAGACTGATTTGCTATCTTTTCCTTTCTGGGCAGTCTCTGTTCTGGCCAAACCAATCTGTTTGCTCTTTCCTGGACACAACACTCCATCTCTCCACTCTGGTTCCTTACTTCGAACTCTGAGAGTCTTTGACCACCTTCAGGCCCTCAGCTTAGACACTGCCTTCCAGAAGCCATCTTTCCCAGGTCCTTCCAGCTGCTCCCCGCCGAAGCACCTCTGTGTGGACTTGATATTTTGTGTTTACTCGCGTGTTTTCATGTTCTTTTTCCCCACGGATGGTAAGCTCCTTGAAGGCAGGGCCTGCTGGTTTTTGTCTTTGGGTGGCCTGTACCTGGCACAGTGCTCAGCATATGAGAGGCACTTTCTAAATGCTTGTTAACTTGAACTGAATTGAAAAGTAGCTGTCTGCTCTCCCAAGCTCACAGGCTTATTGGTAGAAGCCACTGAGACTTCAGCCATGAAGTGCCTCCTCCCCCTAAGAGCGCCCAGTCTGTGATAGTTCTTCTCCCTAATGCCTGCAATCCAGGGAGAGGCTGGTGTCAGGCCTGGGGAACTTTGCTTGGGTTCTCAGCTATATCCTAGGTGTTTACGAATCATCCCCTCTCTTCTCCACCCGCAGGCACAGCTGGCCTTCAGCGCAGAGTAGAAAGGATACTCAGCAACATTCTGCGATTTCAAAAGCCCAACAGAGAGGGGGGCAACTGCTCTCCCCTCCTCCCATGGGACTGTGGCATTAGTGGGGCATGCTGTGCTTTGGGGAGTTTGAGGGAAGCGTGTGCTCTCTAGGCCCATACTCCCATCATTTGTGAGATTCAAAGTGTTTGCAAAGCCATACCCAGGTACTCATTTTATTTTGACTGAGAGACTCTTTGTCCACCCCCCGATAAAAGCTTCACAGGCTATTCTGTGGCTCACAGAGTCCTGCTGTCAGCCGTGGCTTTGTCCCCTTGCCTTCTAGAGGAGGCTTTCTTGCCCCTCTGTTTGTCTGCCTCCCTGCCCGATTGGGCCAGTGATTACGGGCAGAGGAGTGATGGGTGTCTCTGCAATGGGTGTCCGTGGTTGTATGCCCACAAAGCTAGTGAGAAAGTCTCCTTTCTCTGCTGTGGTCTTTGCATTCTGTGGATTGCCACCAGATGTAACATAGGCTCAAAAACCTGGGATTTGGGACTTGAAAGGGACCTTGGGTAGAATGTAGTCCGACCCCCAAGAGGAGGGGAAGGCCCACCTCAGAAAGGGGGAAGAGACTTGTCCAAGGTCACACAGTCAGTGAGTGGCAGAGACAAGATTTGAACCCAAACTTTCTGACTCCATCATTCTTTCTACTCCTCAGACTGGGGAGCTTATTGGGTCTTCTCGGTCTTAAAAAACCTCTTAGAAACCTCCACTCTTAAGGAGTGAAGATTATCATAAATCCCCCGGACTAGTCAACTACCTGAAAGACCAAAGGAAGCTAAATATGAATGCCTGGTTGAGGGTTTTGCATCTGAAGTGACCCACGGCAATCCCCCAAGATAGGGCGTTTATGATGGAGGGGGCAGGGGAGGGGAGAGGGAGCAGGCCAAGAGAACAGACAGGACTCCGTGTGAAGGCAGGCCGCAGCTTTTGGAGTGCCCAAGTACAATGTCCTGGGCACTGGGCATCGATGCCGTGCTGGGCTGCTCCTGTACATGGCCCCCATCTGATGGTGCCTGGGGTGCCAGCTGGCTTCTCATCCAGAGGCCCAGCTTCCTCCTGCCCCTTTTCACTTTGGGGTCTGTTGTATGTTAACAGGAATAATAAAGCTCTCTGGAAGGAAGTGGGCAGCCTAAAACAGAAGCACGGCCAACAGCAGCAGCTGTTATCAAAGGTAGCAGTTGCCCCGCCCCTGCAGGCTTCTCCTATGTGCTCTTCTCTGAATTGATGTTAGACAGAAAGAACCCATCAGCCTTGAGCTTGATTTGGCCATGATTTCATGGGTTGGGTTGCCCCAGTCAAAGAACTCCTCACTTCCTTCATTCCTTCTTCCCTCCCTCTGTCCCTCCCTCCTTCCTTCCTTCTTCCCTTGGTGGCCTGCCTACTGGTAGTGAGCTTCTGGGAGCTTACTTGGCCAGGTTGGACCCCGAGAACATCGGCTCACTCTGCCACTGGCTCCATGCTGGAAGTCTCTCTGGCAGGGTTGAACTTGCCAGAGCCTTGGGCTCTTGGGCTGCCACCAAATTGTCATCATCTGAAGGCGAGGAGAATGTGTCGGATGTGTTAGTGTGTAGGAGTGAATGTGGTGGTGTCTAGGAGTGCTTCGGAGAGTCTTTGTTCACGTGAAGCATGGGGTGCTGATTGAAATATACTTTGTGTTCTTCTCAGATCTTCCAGTTCATACTTGGTTTGATGAAAGGAAACTACATTGTGGGCGTCAAGAGAAAAAGGTGAAATTACTGGTTCCGAGTATTCTCTCTGTAATCGGCCATAATTTCCCCAATAGCCTCAAGCTTTTCTAAATGCACCTCTTAGTTTTTGGTTCAGAGCATTTAGTCAGGCCATATGTGGCCCACGTGCTTTGTGGGTGGGAAGCGGTACCTCCCAAGAGAGCTGGCCAGGCCCTCATTGAGCTGCTGGCTGCAGCAGCACCTGTTTTTTGAAGGTGGTACTAGAGGGACTAATGGGTTAATGATGGCAAGCTGACTTGGGGCAGCTCTATCCTCAAGTGGGCGGGCCCCAGTTGCTGGTACTCAATTTATCTTTTAGGATATCCCAGACCTGGAGTTAGCCTGGGAAATGCCCAGACACCCTAGGGCTTTCACTTAGCTCCAAAGAGGATGATGGAGAAGCAGGACGGGGTAGCAGGAAGAGGGCTTGGCTGGAATCAAGAGCCCCAAAGTTGTTTTCCAGCTCTGAAACTGTCTAGCTCTTTGACCCTGCCGGAGGATCACCTTCTTGGAGCCTCTTTGTTCTTCTGACCTTCCGGGGATCCTAGCACGTGCACCACCTACCTCACAGGGTTGTTGTGAGGAAAGTGCTCGGTAAACCTTAGAAGAAGTAAGAACGTTGTTAGAATAAGAAGGTCCTTTCTGAAATCGCCTCTCCCTGGCCCTGGCCCAGGATCCTCATAGACCAGATCACAACCCCCAAAGGTGGTCCTGGAACCATTACGGGAATGCAGCAGAGCATTCGTCCTCCATCCCTAAGCCCTGGCACTCTCAGGAGCTTCCCAGACCCGTCCTGTAACCCTCAGCTCTAGAGCTGGCCTCTCGTGTCCCAAGGTTATGGGCATGCCTGTATTAGTCTTGAAAGGAGAGAGCATTGGGCTTCAGTGCATTCCCTACAGGGCGCCCTTTCCACCAGTCCCTGGTACCATGCCAGGGATTCGACTCTAGTCGGAGGCAGCAAGCTTTGATTAAGCACCAACTGTATGGAAGGCGCCGGATGGTAAGCACCAAGGAGGCAGAGCACTAAGACACAGCCCGTGCTTATACGATGATAACTGTGCAAAAAGGGCAAATGAGATAAGCAAGAAGGCTTGGTGGGTCCCTCAGGCCTGATGCCCTGAGAGGGGAAAAGGGAGAGGGGGGCAGTTGGGAAACGGGATTGGCTTCAAAATCGAGAGCATTGATCTTCCTGGGTGTTCTTCTGGTGCTTTCTTCATACCAGCCCTATAAGGGAATGCTAGTAGCCTCCCCATTTCACAGATGAGAGGAAATGCTAGCTCAGAGAGATCATGTGACTTGGTCCATGGTCCCTTTTCTAATAGATGCCAGAGGTGGGCTCCAAACCCAGGGGGCTCCTGACTCCCAGGGCCATTGCCTTTTGAACCTGGATATGTTGCCTGTCACGTGAAGGAGACTTGCAAGAGATAAGCCTGGATAAAAGGAGGTTGGAGCCAGACTGGAGGGCCAGGTCGGTCCTCCAGACTGTCTATAAACAAATGAAAGATGACTCCTGTGAACAAGGCCTGCTCCCATTGACCACTCCTCACATTAGCCTAAATACTTCATAAAAAGAATTCTCCCTTGTAGGGTTGGAGTGTTGAATTTGAGTAAACCCTTCCATGAGGTTATTTCCAACAGAGACCTAAACTCTAGAAAACAGCCTCCAATTGGGGCCAGGCTCACTAGCTCTCCTGGAGTCGGTGTGCCCAGGACTGTGTGATTCTTATTGCTAATAGTGCTTGGGAATGGGATGTCATTGCAGGTCATTGCCAGACGTGTCTGGTTCCCCGCCTTCGAAGTTGAGCCGCCAATGTGTCCCGATCCCCGTGGAGAATGGGGAAGCTGTGAGTTTGATGGAGACAGTGATGGTGGGGAGGGGAGGTTCGAGTTGCATCCATCTCTTAGTGTGGGTGGATTCTTCAATCCCTTCTGTGGAAAACCGAATGGCAGACTATTCATCCCCAGCCCCTCTCCCCTTTGCTTCTGTTTAGGTGGATGTGTTAGACCCTGGTTCTCCAACTGTGAAGGACCCCAATGGCATCGTGATTCAAGATGTCACAGCTTCTATGGATGATGGCCCCAGTGGGCTTGGAGCTCCAGCTCCCACTTTATTTTTGTCTCCAACTCTTTCTGCAGATCCGTCGAGCCTTCTTGAAGGGTAAGCATGGGAATTCCCCTTTTGGAATCTTTTGTGCCCACTGGAGGTAGTAAAGAGACTACACTCGGGACCAAGTGAAGGGGCCAGTTGACTTTTGAGGATGTTATAAATAGGGCAAGTAGTATGCCAAAGTCATGGAATCCTAGATTTTAGAGCTGGGAGGGGCCCTTGAGATCCTCCAGTCCAACCCCCTCATCTGTTAGATGAGGAAACTGAGTCACAGGGAGAGGAGGGGACTTGTCCGAGGTCACACATGGAATCCTAGGTCTAGAGCTGGCCGGGACCTCAGGGGCCATCTCATCCAACCCCCTCATTTTACAAAGGGGGACACTGAGGGAGAGAGGACACATAACTAATAAGTGTTTGATGTGGGATTGGAACCCAGGTTTTCCTGACTCCAAGTTTAGTAGTCTATTCACTGCTGTGGTCATGGGGCAGATCTTATTCTTGGTCAACAGAACATGAATTTTTCATTACTATACCAGTTGGGAGTGATGGGTTCTATGCTGATCCATCTATTTTCCCACCTGTTGTCTTTCTTCAGTACTGGGTGGCATAGTGGATTGGCCTTGGAGTTAGGGTAGGAGTGGGGAAGGGAACAAGCCTTTATTAAGTGCCTACTAAATACCAGGAAGCGTTCGAAGTGCTTTACAGATATTATGGGTTCAGGTTCTGCCTGGAACACTTACTATCTGGGTGATCATGGGCAAGTCCTTTCCCTTCCGTGGGCCTCAGTTTGCTCATCTGTGACATGAGGATAGCACCTTCCTCCCAGGGTTGCTTTGAGTGTTAATCATGCTGACAGCTAAAAAGCATTTTGCAAACCTTAAGGTATGGAAATGTGAGCTGCTGTTACTATTCTACCTTTTGAAGATTGGAGATTTCCTTGGAGAATGGGTCCTCCCTCCACCCCAAGTACAAGTTCCATGAGTAGCTGAAAACCTTCCTGGCTCTTGGTCCAACCTTTGGCGATGAGCCCCTCTGACCTTCTTGAGGCTCATCCTCACATGGGAATCACAAGCCCCACCATCCTCAAGGTCATTGATTGCCCAGGTGGCCTCAGAAGTGTTTTTACCTTGACATCATTGTTCTTCCCCTGCAAGATGAGGGATATTGCCCCTGATGGCCCTGCCAGCTGTAGCACTAGGATTTCTCTGATCACTTGGCACTCAATCCCATGATCCTCTCATTCCCTGCTGCCTCACCAGCTCTGGTCCTCCACTGAGTGCCCAGGGCCCCCCTCCACCAGGATGAGGCCCCTGAGTCAGGCCCGCTAGGGAGGCCCACAGAGGGACAAAAGCCATCATCACCCCCGGGCCAGCAGAACTCACCACATTCAGACGAGACACTTAACACTGAGGAACTCAATTGAACAATCTCATTTGCTCATCGGAGAAATAAAATGTTTCAAAGTAACCTCATGGAGGATAGAAATGTCGGGTTGTTAAAAGAATATCATTAAACGGAGCCATTAAATTGAAATGGAAACTTGGGACGCCTAGCAGAGGCCTTAAAATCCATTGCTGAATGGGAGGCTCCGAGTAACCGCAAAAGCAAACACGAAGGGAAATATCCAGCTTGTCTGCATAAAGGGCCCTCTGTGGTGGGGAGGGCTCTCCTCAGGCAGAAATAGGGCCTGGGGAGCTAAAAGAGGCCTGGGGATGGGCGAGGTCTGGGTGGTCCAAGTGGAGGCTGGCTGAGGAAGGAGGACATTCCAGGGGAGGAGCCTTTGGCCCCAGAAGGAGCCTCAAGATGTTGGCATTGGGCAAGGGAGAGGATTGTTTTTGGGGGGGACGTTGGCAGGCAAGAGCTGTTGGGGCAAGGCATTTGAGGAGCAAGGAAACGGAGGGGGGTGGAGGATGGGTTCTTGTGAGAAGGGGAGACAGTTTTGCCTGTGTAGGGAGTTGTTTTGAGTAGTGGGTTGTGGTGGGAAGGTGGAGGTGGATGCCTGATGCTGGTCTCCAGATGTTGGCCTCTGTGGCGTGAGCTTTTGCTCCTATACCACCTGCAGAGTAGGGTGATGGAAAGAGCCCGGGACTCAGAATCAGGACATGAGCATTCCTACTCTGCCTTTGACTGGCTTGGGGGGGGCCCTGAATGAGTCAGCTCATCTCTCTGAGCTGAACCTCAGTATCCTCATCTGTCAGAAAGGGAGAGGGTAATACTTAGCATTGCTCACCTCCTAGGTCTACTGAGATGATGGCTAAAAGTGCCAGCCTGAAGGTTTGCTGTCTTAGTGCTGGCAGATAGCAGAGGGGATCAGGAGGGAAGAATGGTGGGGGGTGTGTACCAACTGTCCACAGTAGGGCTCAGACAGACAGAGACAGAGGCAAGAACAAAGATTGAAGTGGAGTTCTATCTTCGCTGTTAAAATGTCCTAGGAGCTAATGCAGTGAGTGATGGTTGTTAAGTGGGCCTGTCTATGGCACACCGATCTGGAGGAGCCCCAATAGCCACTCTGGGTTTTCGGGTGGCTCAGGTATACTGACAGCCCTCCAAACCAGCAAGTAAGAAAGGAGATGGAAAATCACGCTTACTTAGGCAACTTAATTAGCCTTGGAAGTCCAACTTAATTAGCCTCGTGCAAAGGAACATTTGATCCTTGGGGAAAATTAGCCTCCCTCTCTGCAGCTGGAAGGCCTCCCCCTCCCCCCTCCCCTTCTCTACTTCAGCTCCTCATCCTTTCTTACTTCCTTGGGGGGAAGGGGAGCAGGGGGCTTCCTGTAAGAAAAGTACCTTTAAACTCGAGGCCTTGTGGTGGAAGGAAAAAAGGAAGAGACTGGAAGCCCTGCTTCAACACTGGCTATGACTCCAAACAAGCAATTTCTCCATTCTGAGCCTCACTTTCTCCATCAGTAAAAATTAGAAGAGTAATCCTTGCAGTCCTTCCTCCCAAGGTTGTGAGAAAAGCCCTTTGTGGCCCCTATAGCTTCTGATGGGAGCCTGGCTTCCAGGACAGCTGAGCCAGAGGAGAGGAACACCAAGCACTGGGAGCTGTCATGCCAGCTGCTGGTTTGCTCTCTCCTGTGCTTGCTCCCCCAGATGTCCCTTGGCCGCCCAAAGCCATTAAATGAGGGCGATGCCTTGGCCTGCTTGTCATATCAAGTGCTTGAGCCATGTAAGACAGTATCCAGCATCATCAGAGACTGAGCGCTAGACAGGACTTGGAGGCCACCTAGACCAAGCGCTCTTTCTGTAGGGCCCAACATCACCCATAGGATCCTAAAGTGAGAGCTGGAAGGGATGTCAAAGGCCGTACTACTCTAACCCTTCGTTTTACAGAGAAGGAAAGTGAGGCCCAGGATGGGCAAGGGACTTGTCTAAGGGTCATTCGGGATTAAGTGGCAGAGCTGAGAGTTGAACTCCATGTCATTGATTCCAAATTGAGTGCCTTTTCCCTTTACCACACTCCCATGTTGATAGATAGATGACTCTTGCCATTGTGGGTACATTCTCTCCTTTATCCAGGTCTTGTCTGGTCCCTGCTACCACATGACCTGGTAGTTCATGTCTTTGTCTTTTGCTGGCCCTAGAGAAACTTCCCTCAGGGGACTGCAGAAAGGACTCCCATTCCAGTGCAGGCCTACCTGTGTGCTAGAGGCACTGCTCAGGATAACTCTCCTCCTCCACTCTTGACAGCTTTTCTCTTTTTTTTAAGAACAGTTTTTTAAATGTATATTAAGTTGAATACACTAGCTTGAACAGCCCTGCTTGTCTGCATCTTCTCTTGTACTTCATTCCTTCATCTGTGGATTTTTTTTTGTTTTGTTTTGTTTTTTGTTTTTGTTTTTTTTTTTTTTTTGGCTAGGCAGTGGGGTTAAGTGACTGGCCCAGGGTCACACAGTTAGTAAGTGTTATGTGTCTGAGGATGGATTTGAACTCAGGTCCTCCTGAATCCAGGGCCGGTGCTCTATCCACTGCGCTACCTAGCTGCCCCTATCTGTGGATTTTTTAATGGGCCATTGATCATCTTTTCTTTTGTTTTTGTATCACTTCTACTGTCCCCCTCCAACTTCCCCCCAGCTCTCCCCTCCAGAAAATAAAAGCCTGCTGTCGGTACAAATCAGTATAATCAAGCAAAACCAATTGACACGCTCCTCGTTTCGGGAAATGTGTGTCTCCTTCTGTACCTATACAGCTCCTGTGGAGCCCTGATTGGCCATTGTATTGATCAGACTTATTTGTCTTGACATTGTTGCTGTTGGGTAAATCTTTTTCCTGGTTCATCTCACTTTCCTTTGCATCAGTTCATCCAAGTCTTCCCAGGTTTCTCTGAAACCATCGTTTCTTATCCACAGTAATATTCCATGACATTCATATGCCTGATTGATGGACACCCTCTCAGTTTCTGGTTCTTGGCTGCCACAGCAAGTACTGCCATGAATATTTATTGCTCTCCGATGAGTTCCCTGTCATAGATGTCCTCAGCTGGACCTGCTTGGGGGACACCATTTGCCTTGTTTTGAATGCCGTGGTATATGTGGTAGGGACTTAATGCATCTGAGCTGATGGATGTCCACGTGTTAATTACTTCTCAGGAGCAGCCATCTATCCCCAGTGCATATAATACCATCATTTGGGTTGGATTTGGATGTGACTGACTGCCCCCTCCAAATCACTGAGGATTCCCTGGAGCCTGAGGACATTGACAACCTTCCCCTGGAGCTCCACGCCTCCCAGGCCAGCGACTCTGAAGACCCCGCTGTGGTTATTGACTCCATCTTGAATGACAGCCATGTTTCCACCCAGGGTGGTGGCTTTTTGAACAGGTACTCTGCTCCCGTCAGGAAGGGCTAGGAGAGTGGGGCCAGGGGTGGGGGTGGGAGCCCTTTGAGCCTTGGGCGGGGTAAAGCTTGTTCAGAAACTGGCTCCACTTGGCAGGGTTCAGGAAGGGGTTGCTGCTGCCAGTTAGAGGAGAGAAATGAGGGCCTGTGGTAGGTGGGTGCTTGGTTGCAGTCGCTGCTGGGCACAATTCATAGTTGGGTCTGTCACTTTCCATATTGCTGCAGTTAAGTCCAGATTTGGTAGTAACCTTGAAACCTGCCTCGCTTTGGGTCATTTGAAGGTAGAGTTTAGGGTCCACTTGGATAGCTAATAGTAGACTTTCAAGGCCCAAAGCCTTTTGGGTTCATAGGCTATAGAAGGGCTGTTTCCAGATTGTCTCACCTAGTCCATTCGACTGTTTTGTGTTTGTTTTGCCATATTGTCTTTTTATTATGAACTTTAGAGACAATGTGGCCTAACGTAAAGAGAACTGGCCTTGGAGCCTGAAAGCCCTGGGTTCAGGTCCTGCCGCCGAGCCATGCTGGCCCAGGCACCTCTCTTACACTGTCATCTCAGTTGAAATGACAAGTCTTATCCCTCTGCCTGTTACAAACTGGATAGACACCAGCAAACATGAACCTTCCCATAGAGAACAGGAAAGGTGGGCTTGTGGGAGATGGAGTCTCTCTTATGCATACATTGCTTCCTTTTGAAAGTAGATAGTATATTGAACCCTATCATTTTATAAGGCAGAAAGCTGAGGCCCAGAGAGAAATGACCTGTGCAAAGTCATGCATCTGGTAAATAGCAGGGTCTCCTCTGACTCGCAATTCAAGACTTCTAAAAAAAACACGTCCTTGGCCACCTGTGGCCATGGAAAGTTTGATGAGATAACAAGCAGTCAAGGGAGCTAACTCTCCCTCTCTTCTCACCCCCCCCCCACCACAAAAACACAAAACCCACACCAAAAACACCCCCCCCCCCCCCCCCAACAGCAACAGTGCACAGAGGAAGCCCTTGGACTTCTGTGGCTGAATTCTCTTCTTACTTGTGTACCTGACCCCATGGAGGTTACAGCCTAGTAATGGGCACAGCTAACTCCCATGTTTGAACTCCAAGAGAGAAGGAAGAACGTGAATGACTGACTAGGGGAGGAGGGAATTAGAGCAGTGGTGTTGGAATTGGACTTTAAAGGATAAATTAGGAAGAATTCAGTAGGAAGGTGAGAGAAAAGGTGGGAGGAGGGGGGAGAGTGGAGGAAGGAGGGAGGGAGAAAGGAAGAAGGGGGGAGAGAGAGGAAGAGGAGGAGGGAAAGAGACAGAAAGGGGAGAGGGAAAGAGTGGGGAGGGAGAGACAGAAAGGGGGGAAGGAGAGAGACAGAAAGATGAGGGGAGAGAAGGGAGGGGGGAAGGAGAGAGAGACAGAAAGGGGGAGGGGAAGAGTGGGAGAAATGGAGAAAAGAAGGGAGAGGAAAAAAAAGAGCAAAGAGAAGGAGGGAGAGAGGTAGGAAAAAGAGAAAGGAGAAGGGAAAGGAGGGAGGGAATCCCAGGCTTAAGAGCTAAGAAGAGTCAAGACATTGGGAGGCTGGGCATCTTCAGGGGGCAGAGAGGAATCCCTTGGGCTGCTATTCATCTGTGGCAGAATTCTTACATGTGCAAGTAGCTATTTGAGGCTTGGCCCCAAAACAATAGCAGAAAGGATGTCTTCATTTCCTGAAGCAAGAAGGCTGTGTTCGCTTCAGCAAAAAGCCCTACTAAATTGGAGCTGTTAAGACACTAGCATCAGCAGATCTATACCCAGGAAAAAACTGGCAATGGCATGTGAGGGAGAGGTGGTGGCCTGGGTTTCGGCCCCGTCAGCAGATCTTTGCAGAATTGGATGGTGTTGGCACACTTTATCATTTGATTTGGGCCTGTGCTCTCCTGACCACCCTCCTTGTGCATGAGGAGAGGGTAGGCACAGGTGAACTTTGCCAGGCCCAGCAGCATATCCCTCTGTAGATACTCTTTTCTCTTTCTTCTTTCCATATTGCCAAATCTATTGCAAAATCTTTCAGACACAATGTAACGTAGTATCATAGAGTGTAGAATGTACACCTGGCAGGGGCCTTGGAGATCATCTCGGCTTAGCCCCCCATTTTATAGATGAGTAAACTGAGGCCTGGAGGGGACCAGCTTCAATGTCATCTCCTTTCTACATTCTTGTGAAACAGCAGTTTTATACCCTTCTGTGTGTTTATATTTCCTTCACTCCTTCACTTTCCTTCACTTCACATACTCACTAAGCGCTCCCTTGTAACAAAGAATAAAAACGAGAGGGAAAAAAAACAAAATTAGTTTGGCCAAATGAACCGCCATGTCCAGCAGGTCCCGTAGGGTGTCCAGCGCAGCACCATGTACTTGGTTTTATTTCTGGTGAGAGAGAACTGAAATAGGTAGTCAAAAGCTCTCACTGCACACACTGGGTCTTCGAAGAGCTCAGTTAGGATCGCTCAGGGATTCAGTGTGGGGTCATTGTACGGGTGTCTTGGCAGCTTTGAGAGCAGTGCTGCAATGAGAACAGGTCTCAAGAGTATCTGGGGCAGCTCTCCCCTTTGCCACATCTCACTTCTGCCTCGTGGCGTACTTGCCTGTGTACATAAGGGACCCTCCCAGTAATAGATGGAAAGCTGGAGGACGGGGACGTTTTGGTTTTCATGAAACTTTGTGTTCCCCTTACTGAACACTGGGCCTATAGAAGGTAGGTGCTCAACAAACAGCCAATTGAAATAGGTAGAATTTTTCAGCAGACCTCATTGAATGAATGATTGCTTACACTTTGGGGCCAAGTCAAGAACTGTAAATATTTCTATGCTTATAAGATTAGCTTGATTCTTTTTTTCTGAATGCCGTGTTTCCCATCTACTGGCAAATTTCAAGCAAAGTACAATTCACTCATTCATTCAACTGCAAACACTAAATGACTATTATCTAATGAGAGAAAGTCTGAACAAATAGGACATTACTTGCTGCTGGAAGAAATGTAGCTATTTCAAAATCTCATTTGTTTTGCAAAATGGACGAGCTTGTTGAAATTCCTAGCAGCTCCTTCCTCCCTTCCTCCTAGGCCAGTGGAGTACTTTGATCCAGCTCCAGCCTGGGAATAAAGACTCCCTTTGGAAGAGATTGAGGATGGCTTCCTATTTAGAATTCTTAGGGGATGTTGCCTGTGCATGCACACACACATGCATGCGCACATGTGCGCACACACACACACACACATACACATATTTTTCCCTTCCCTCTTTCAGACTTCAGAACTCTGGTATGTTGCCTGGAAGGGGATGGGGAGGCACTGTGTCTCAGCTCTAACCAATGAGTGATGGGGCTGCCATCCTTCTGAATAGCAGTGGGCTTTGTAGGCTAGACATGAAATCCCTTTGACTGGAGAAAGCCATATGGTTGGTGGTTTCATGTTCTAGGACGTGCCACAATCTGTGAAATTTATGTTTTGTGGTATTTGCCCAAGGACATCCTGTGGTGTTGGGCTCAAGTCTTATGAATCCCCTGTCAACTAGATGGCCATGTTTTCCATTGGCTTTCATGCATAGATCTTTAATTTCCTCTCTTCTCCTCATTTAAGGAACGAAATGCAGGATTTTCTGAATTGTATCGAAGCTAATCTGGAGGAGCTACACTCCATGTTGTCTGCAAATAAACTGACTCCGGACCCCGAGCTCCTGAGTGAGGTGGGGGCGGCTGTTTATTCTGGGGCCGGGAGAGATAATGTTAGGCCAAGGATTCACAAACATGTGTATTTGAAGAATAACATGCTGACTCTTCTCTCCACTTGATCATTTTCATGACCCCCTCCCCCACAGACAGCTGATAGTCAGGGAAACTATGGCGCCAGGCCAGCAGCAAAACACAGGCCTCTTGGCCCCTAGCACAATGCTCACCACACTATTTCCCAGCAGTGTGACTTTTAGCCTGAAGTCTCTGAACTAGAAAATCAAAAGATGATATGGCCCTTCTTTGAATTATTCTAATGGGTGTGTCTTTGCGATGTAATTTTTATTACCGTTCTTCTCAGATTCACTTAAGAGAGTCCTTCTAAAAGTAACAGTTGCATATGAACAATGGATGCCAAGGCCTTTTTCTTGGTGGAGCCATGGGATTACATTATAGGGAACTCCCAGAATGGAAACTCCCTTCACTGTTGTGCTATCAACAGCCCATCTATAACTTAGAACCTCGGAGAATTGCCTGGGGACACATTGAATTATGAAGCTTGTGGTCTAATTCCAGTGTCCAGAGTTTCCCTTTCTTGCCGGCATGATACCTTTGTCCAGAAACAGGGTGGTTTCATGTTCTAGGACGTGCCCATGTGTGGTGCTAGAGTGTATTTGACAACTGGCTCAGTACGGGAAAAATATTGTACACACAAGACTACTTTTTGAAGTTTAGTCTGTATCATTAACATTTTCTCCCTCACTCTGTTAAGTCTAGACAGCAACAAAAAAATGAAGCACCAATTTTTGTAGCATTTGCCAATTTCCAAGGTATAAGTAACCACACTGAAAATTGAAAATGCAGCTCTCAGGAGCTGGTAAGAGCTGGCTCTAGCAGCATCCCCTCTTAGCACCCTCATCAGAAGCCTTTCATTCTGCCATAGCAGTCAGAAGTTAAATTGGATTTAAATTCTTAGATTTAAAGGATTGTGTTTACATGATTTTTTTTTTCTCCTCAGATTCCAACTGCTGAATTTCCAATCCTGAACATGAATGAAACAGGAGCCTCATCCAACTTGGCTGACGTAAGAGTGAATTCGATCTTATAGAGCTCTCGGATGGTGTCTGTATATGTGTTTACTGTCAAATTATGATGCTGTGTATTGGTTACCATTGTGAAGGATTTCCATCCAGTGGTGGGATTACTAACAAGAGAATTGGAATGAGATGTACTGTCTGTATTGTCCTGATTCCCTATGACATACGTACAAATTAAGATCGTTATCGCTGATTAGGCCACATTGGGAAGGTAACAGAGGGGTTAGTGTGAGAGAAAGTTTGGGTTCAAGCTGGACAAAAGCGGTGTGGCTCGCTGAGAGACTGTAAGAAAAGATGGAGGAGTCTCAGTGAACTGTGTGACATGGTAACCCAAAGAGCTTCCAGGATCTTCACAGTGGAAGGGGGTCTGAAATGAGAGCAGACGAGGTGGGAGGAGTACGGTCTTTCGCAGGGCCATTTGTTTGGGTGCCACACTTTTTTGGGAGGGATATTATGTCCAAAGGGAAGGAGATGGATATTTCAGAGTACTGGAGACCAAGGAACTGATGGCATTAGAGAACACGGAAGGGTGGGAAGGGGAGGATAGTGACTGTCTTCAGGTGTTTAAAGGGTCTCAATGTGGAAAAAGGACTAGTAGACTTGTCCTGCTTCCCAGTGTTCAAGACTAGGGACACTGAGGGGAAGTTGTAGGGAGGCAGAGTTCAGCCTTCATGATTAAAACTGCCTATCGGCAGTGGCCCCAGGGGCTTGCCCATTATGGTTAAGATCCTTATTCTCCAAGTCTTAGAGTGGAGCCTGGCTACAGGATTCTGGCTCAGGTACAGATTGGCCTAGATTCCTGCACAGGTGCCTTCCAGCTTGCCAAGCAAGGGAGCTGTGGCAGTTTAGGGAATGGGTGCTGGCTGGCTGCTTGAGGCCTAGAGGTGAAGGACCTGCATCCTGGGGTGGGGAGGGAAGGAGCAGTATGTAGAGATGACTCTTGTCATTTAGTCATGGGCAAAGTACAACTGGATGGAACACACCACTCAGTGGCTCACTACTATCCTGTCCTCAAGCAGAAGCAGCTTCTTAGGTCTGGCCAGAAGGACCCCACAGGTCACTTTAGATGTAGGATCTGGGGACCTTAGTGCTACAGCTAGAAGAGACTTCAGAGGCTGTCCAGTCGAAGTGTTCATTTTATAGTCGAGGGAACTGAGGCCTTTGGAGGGACAGTGACCTGCCTGTGCAATCAGCCACGTCCTCTTGTACATGGGAGGGTGGCAGTTGAACTGAGTCTCAGAAGCAGCCTGGAGACGGCATTTCAGGCATGATGTCGTGGACCAGAAGAGGGAGAAGGAGGCCGCAGTGTTGAGCTGTTCTGGAGAGGCAAGAGGATTGCCCCTGGGGCATCTTGAGCAGGGCAGTGACATGGTCAGACCTGGGCTTAATCGGGCAGCTGGAGAGAGGAGGGATTGGGAAATGGGGGATTTTCCTCTTCTTCCCCACACAGAGATCCGCCTCATGAGGCAGCCTTCGGAAGGGCGGGGGCGGGGTGAAGGATTTGTCCGATGCAAATGCATCTGTTTATTGACACACGATAGTTATCGATCTGTTTTGTTTGGTCAGCTGGTCCTTAAAAATCTCACAACATACAGTTAATGTAGTTAAGTAAGAAAGCCTGAATGTGGCTGATGGCACATGTAGTCTTGTTCTGGAAGAGTTGCCATTTGTGCCAGGGTCCACCGGTCTTGGCTTGGCCTTTGTGCGTCACTGTCATTTCTGAATGTCTGCCAGTCATCCCAAGCAATGAAGATTTCCCAGGGAGAAGAGCAAGTGGTTTACACAAGTGCTGTGGATGCCGGATGCCACCCATGAGGCCACGCCTCCCAAGGCCTGGCTTGGTCCTACGTCTATAGTGGTCGTTGTTCAGGGGTTGTCCTTTGCTTCATGCACATCTTTGCAGGATTCCCTTCATTCTTCACGTTGGTCATTCCATCCCATTCACATCCACAGGTGTGAGCACATGGAACACTGTGGAAATGAAGTGTCTAGGAGACACAACCCCTGCCATTGGGGAGGCTCTGCTCTGGTAGCAGGCCATGCCACCTACACTATAACAAGCACTGATGCGCCAGGCCCTGTGCTAAGTGCTGGGGATACAAAGAGGCAAAAGACAGGCCCTGCCCTCACGGAGCTCACAGTCTCATGGGGAAGACAGCATGCAAACAACTATGTCCAAACAAGATCTAGGCAGGATCCATTAGAGAAAGACTCAAAGGGAAGGTACTAGCATCAGTGGGGAACTGGGAAAGGCGTCCTACAGAAGGTGGGAGTTGGGGTGAGAGGCAAAAGAAGCCGGGAGGTGGGGATGAGCAGGGAGAAGGGAGTGTGGTGTCAAATGGTGGGTAAAGAAAGGATGTAGGGAATGGTGTGAGTGAAAGCTCAGAGATGGGAGAGGGTGGCCATGTTCAGGGGGTGGGCAGAGAGGCCAGTTGGGTTGGAGCACATGGGGCATGGCAGAGAGGAACATGAAATAAGATCAGACAGTTGGTAAAGTGGCGGCAGAATTTGGAGGTCCTTCAATGCCAGGTAAAGGTGTCAGCGCCTTTATTGGGAAAATACTGGGCAAGCACTGCCTCTTTCTGAGCAGAGGACGACGGAGAACAACTTCTTGGCCGCCCCTCCTCCCTGCTCTCTTTCCATCTAGTACATGCTCCCGGTTCTTAGTTGTTGGCCTCTGTCGTCCTCATGGGCCAGGCCGTGTCTGTGACTGAACCTAGACTTGGCGACTCATTTCACATACCTGGATGCACTTTGCTGATGGAGCTGGGTAATGTCAAGGTGTGGCTTTACCAGCTTCAGGTCTGTGCACAGACTCAATCACAGAGTTGCCAAGTCATGATTCTTTGGGGCCTTACTTGCTGAGCATTTGTAATGAACGTATTAGCTGCTGATTGCTTGAAAACAGGCTCTTCCCTTCCCTAGTCTAGCCATTCTCCCTGTGTTCATCTCTGTGACTTAATTTCCTTAGCAGACCCTCCACAGGTTGTACAAATGAAGCCCTTAGTCCAGTCTTTATTTGAATTAGTGAGATTTTACTGTAGTTATTATTTTGAATGACAGAATCATCTTCAGTATTTGATTTTCGTGGCCAAGGGACTCCTTTTCATATTATAATGGAATTGTAGAGCTTTAGAACCAGGAGAGAGGCCTTAGAACAGAGAGTGTCAGAACTGGAACCCAGAATGTTAGCTTAATCTGGAAGGGACCTTAGAGGCCTTCTAGTCTAACCCCTTCATTTTACAAAGGAGGGAGGTTGCAGGCGAAGGTCTCCTACAAGTGAGCAGCCCCAGAGTTAGGGCATGTGCACAAATTGTGCTGCATTAGCTGCATGAGTTTCTCTGACACTGTTTCCCCCTTTGGCACACCCATCCTCTGTTCTTTCCTTTGGGCTGTGAATGTTCAGGATGGGCAGGCAAATCCTGGGCTGTTCTGTAAGTCCCATTCCCAGATGGCTGGAAGCCTGCCTCCACCTACCAGAAGGAGCAGCCCTGTACTATTGACACATGCACTAGGTAGCAGTGGTTCAGACTGGACATCTCAAAGAAGCCCGTGATCCTCTCTGGAAATCCCTGGGGGATTCTGCTGCCCCTTCCCTCTGAGCATAGCAGGAGGACTCTGCTCCTGGCCAGAAGCTGCTGCCTTGCCTTCTCATCACACATGTCTGGTCTGCCTGGGAAATTATTCATTTGTTTTGGGGTTTTTTTTTTCCTAAAGTCCACTCTCCTGTTTGCCCAGAGCTGCTTTTTTCCAGCCAGGAAAGGGAATGAATAGTGTTGATCAAACTCTAAGCGGCAGGCCCCTCCCAGGGCATTGGCCCTCGTGCTGTGACCGGGCCAGGAGGACTTGAAAGCCTCCTTCTGCTCCTCTTCCTGTCAGATAAACCAGGCATGTTTGACAAGTCGGCTTGTTTGGACTTCAGTCCCCCATTCAGTGTTTGCTGGTGTCCGTTCAGAGAAATATTGGTCAATATTAGCTCAGGCAGAATCGCAACTGGACCATTTGGTACACTTGGCTCAGCAACACCACTCGTTGATTTCTCCCCTTGTCTGGAGAGCAACAAGCCAAAAAAGCCAGGCCCGTGGAATGAGAGAAGAAATGGACTGATTCCCACCCCTCCCGCTCCCATAATGGCTCCTCGGAGGGGCTCTTTACTCCTAGAAACTTAATTTTGTCTCTAGGAACGAGGAGCCGCTAAACACATGCCTGCCCTTTGTTCCCCTCTAGACCCTGGTTTTCACAAAGAGTGCTGAAGAAGGTGGAATGACCAGTGAATTTGAAGCTGATGGAAATAAAGGTAGGAGAGAGGCCTGGGCTGGTGAGCAGCAGACCCTCTGGCTTCTAGGCCCACCCCCACTGAGTCATTTACCTTGGGACCTTAAGCAAGTCACGGCCCTTCTGAGAGCCTCCATTTTGTCACCTGTCAAATGGAGCTAACTCTGCCTTGTCTTGCCTCATAGGCCTTGTAGTTTATCCTGCCCTCCTGTCAGGTGGAAGGAGGCGAGGATACGCCCTGCTCCTTAAAGGAAAGCCTCAGAGTCACCTTAGGCTCCTGACAGTAGATGAAGGTTCAGCATTGTTCCAAATTGCCTTTTCTTGGGGGCTTCCTCAGCTCCGTTTCCTCACAGGTTGGCCAAGTTCAGAGGCTCGTTGCCAGCTTAGCCACAAGATGGTGGTATTTGGAGCTGCAGCAGCTCTCAGACACCCTACTGTGGGGGCCTCTGGTCTGGCATCAGAGGATCTGGGTTCAAATCTTGCCCGTGACACTTAGCGACTGTGTGACTTGGGAGTAAGTCACTTCCCCTCCATCAGTCTATTTCCTGCCATGTAAATGAGGAGAAAGTTGGTGTCTGAGGACCCTTTGGGCCTCAGTTCAAGATCTGCAAGTCATGTTGCATTCTCATGACATGCATGTCTGTCAGTTGAAAGAGTATACGTAGCCCCATGGCAAAAACCCAGGGCTTTAAAGTGCTTCTCAACAGTATTCTAGTGGAAGCCTTTAATCTTTGTGAGGACAGGTGCCTGTAGTAGGAACAAGGAGGAGGGCTGGTGCTGGCTTCAGGGTTCAGAAAAGAAGGCGTGAGCTAAGTCAGGTCTTGCTGAGCACAGCGTTTGGCTTTGGAACCAGCCTCTGGGACGGCCAGTTTGGTGATTGTAGCAGGATCTGTGTGAGGTGAGGCAATCACGCTGTGCGTGGCCACATACAGGTTTGTCCTCGTGGAGGGCTCCTTGGTCTCAGGACGTTAGTGCCTCTCGTGCATAATCAAATACTCGACCCATCTCCCCGCAGACATGCAGCTGGTCCAGTACATGGGCAACCCTTTGCTTTCACTATTTGAAGACCTGCCTTCCTTTGAAGACAGATCCCAGGATGCTGGAGACCTTCTCCTGGCTGACCTGGAGGATGAGAAGGATGTGCCCACCTACTTGGAGGACTCAGATGATCCTCTCTGCCTGGTAGCACCCAGCCTGTCGGATGATTATGAGAATCCACTTGAGTCTTTCGAGTCCCCACTGCTCTTGGAAGACCCCAATGGGGAGTACAAGCTGTTCCCCCTGTTGCTCCTCAGCCCTGTCGCAAACTTCATCGAAGAGGCCACAGAAATTGAAAACACCATCTGAGCCCCTGGGGCTCCGTTCCCCCCTGCCTAGCTTCCTCCCCAAGTACTAGAGGCCCCACCACCACCTGGGGCCATTAATCTCTAACCTCCTCACACTCAAAGGGCAGGCCCTTGGGAGTGTGAGGGAGTTACTAGAAATCCCGTGTCACTTGGGATTGAAGTCTAGATGAGGAGGAAGGTGGGCGATATGTTGGAGGCAGGGGGAAGGTCCCGTTTGTTCCAAGCCAAAGTTCTAACCTGCAGTTTTTAGGGTATGCTGTTCTTGTATAGGTGAGAAAGCTGTGTTTAAGATGTCATAAACTAGGGCTGTTTCTTTTGTGATCCAGGGACTAGAGCATTTGTTTGTGCACCATGAGATCTCCCATCCCAGGATTCTCCTGGGCCCGTTTGGTCTGTTATATAGAAGCAGGTTATTTTTCTAGTACTTCAAAGACAGAACAAAGCTTTTTTTTTTTTCTCCTAAAGTTTGCAAGTAGGTTTATTTGCATAGCCATGTGTTGATCTTTTTCTCCTCTTAGACTGAAATCTAGTTTGGTTATTTACAATTTTCTTTTCCTATGGAAAACGGAACTTTTAATGTGGAGTGTTATTTTTCCATATGGCTGCCCCATTCACTGCCCTACGATCTGAGGGTGCCCCTTCCCAGGGACTGAGCCCCCCACCTTCACATGTATGGCCTTATAGAAGAACCCACAGAAGTCAGACGAAGACCAACACCAAGGTGGGCTCCTAAGAGCATTTAGGGAAGCCAACCCAATTTCTCCATAAGCTAATTGCCACAGAACACACAGTGCCCCCTGGGATGACAAATGAAAAAAGGGTATGCATGAGGCTTCCTGAACTCCCCATTCAGCTTGTTCCCCCCCACCACCTGCCCACTCCCTCCACTCTAGCGCCTTTAGGCAGGCTCAGCGCTCCAGTGTAGATCTGATGGGTAGCTCCCTTTGCAAGTAATTGTGCTTTAGAAGTTGGGGGAGGGGTGGGAAGGGAAGGGGGAGCAACACTTTTCCCCAGTATCCTCTTTGCTTTCTCTTTTACCTAATGGGTCAAGTACCAAAAAGCCAGTAGCAAAATTAAACTCTCAAACTATCTCATTTTTATTTAGCACGTATCTTAAACATCTAAGATATTTAAAATTTTGCATAGTGCGCATTATGAGAAATACAAGCTTCAAACAGTGTCTGCTTTAAAATTTTGCATAGTGCGCATTATGAGAAATACAAGCTTCAAACAGTGTCTGCTTT